TTCCCCCTGATGTTCTGCAGCTCAGGACTGTAGCTTCCCCCCAGGTCTCTCTACTTTTCTAACACACCTACTCCTTCCCATCCCTGCCTTCCCCAAACCAGTGGTCCCTTCCCCACCTGGGGCCTGGTTAAATACTGCCTCATTCTGTGCCACAGTGGGATTAAGACTCCCAAAGGGAGAAGTCCTTGTCTTATGTCTTCCTTGTGACTCCATAACACCCATCATCACACATGTGGAACCCTGGATGAGTATAACTCTGGGAATCAGGGATCCCAGACCTGCAGGGGAAGACAGTGAGGTGTGCAGTGCTTGGAGGAGACTGGCATCAGGAAACCAGGCTTCTGGTGTTTCTAGTTAAAGTAACCAATTCCTCAGATTTGAAATTTTCAAAACATTTCTAAATACATTGTCTCACGTGAGTTTTTTTCACCCCACAAGATAAATAAAGCAGATTTTATTGTTGCTGCTGCCGCTGCTATTTTATTTTGTTTGTTTTGGTTTTGTTTTGGGTTTGTAATGCAGGGATAGAACCCAGGGCCTCTGAAATGAGCTACATACCCAGCCCTTTATTTTATAGATAGATAGATAGATAGATAGATAGATAGATAGATAGATAGATAGATAGATATAGATAGATAGATAGATAGATAGATAGAGGTATTTAATTTCACTAGGCTCTCACTAGGTTCTCACTAGACTGCTAAGTTGCCAGGCTGGGCTCCAACTTATAATCCTTCTAAAGCAGATATTTTTTAAGTCCTCATTCTTAAAGATGAAAAATAGATGCTGGAAAAGGTGGTGAGACTTGCCCAGCCAGCCCAAATAACCCTGCCATTTGTGCTGAGGTTCTCGCTCCTGCGTCCTGATGACCAGAAGCCCAAATAGGGAGGGAATCAAAAGGCAATGGCTGTGGCCCTAGGAAAGCACCACCTGCGTGAATCAGGCTGGCTCAGGGTTTCAGGCAGTAGATTTAACCCTGTGCATTTTTCCACTGCTGCCTCACTGCCTCCTCTGGCCTGTTCGCCACCATTTCTCCTTGATAGTCTCATTTAATCCAAAGTGAAGAACATCAAGGTCTACCGCTTTCCTGCCTAAAGTAGGAAACGAAGGCCCAAAATGAACCCTAACCCCTGCAGGTTACTACGCAAATACAGACTCAGCGACGAGGCAGAGAAGGGAACGGACCTGAAGTGAGTAGCACCGGCTCCATCTCTAAACTGTGCTTTCCACAGACCACTGTCCTTGACTCCCTCACTGGCAGGACAAAAATATCTGACTCAGGCTTTAGATGGTTGCTGTGAGGCTGAAGTGAAATGGTGAGTATAAGTCTTTTGGAAACCGTCAGGGATACATAGATCCAAACTGCCAAGTTCCTCATCCCAACCATTGTCGTCACCCCGCCTCCCCATGACAAGCACCAAGGCAAATCTGCCTGTTTCACCAACTAACAAGCGTGGTTCCAGGCCGTACTCTCTTGCTTGTTTGCTTGTTTTCTCACCTTTTTTTTCTTTCTTTTTTCCTTTCGTGATACTCGAGATTGAAACCAAGGAGTACTGGGCTCCATCCCAGCCCTACTATTCATTTATGTATTGAAACAGGTTCCCATTACATTGCCCAGGTTGGCCTTAAACTTGCAATCCTCTTGCCTCAGCCTCTCAAGTAGATGGGATTATGGGTATGTGCCACTGTGCCTGGCTTGGCTACACAACTTTGACACATTGCTTTTTTTCCCCCTTGAAGATGGCCTTGGCATTCTTTTAATCAGATTTCATCCTATTCAAAATACTAGTTGGTAAAGAGAGAGGATAATAAAGAAGAAATTTGCGACTGGCTCCAAGTTAATAGGCCAAAGGGAACCCTATCTATATGTTTGCCTCAATCCTTTGATAAGGAAATAGAACAGAGCTGAAAAACACTGGCCAATGCTAAGGCAATCATTCAGCCTGCTCTTATGCTTTGATCCAAATATCAGAGGCTATGATTAACTAGATGCATAACATCCTGTAAATAAGCAACTCTCCCACAAAAGCTTCTGTCACAGTGAATGTGCATTGGTTCCTGGGTAGAATTTAACTTTCACCAGTCTCCACAGCTTTAGGGAGACTTTGGGTCACACCAGTAGAAAATTCATGTCTAGAGTACTTTATTAGGATATAGGGCACAGTTTCTGTCTTGGAAAAATTTATTACATCTGTTGCTGGTTTTCCTTGAGTGTTGCTTATAATCCTAGAAGATTGGTGGCTCTTTAAATCCTTCCATGGTTGTGCAGACAAGCATTATGATCACTAAGATCAATAAAAATTGTTTGGAGATTTTTTTCATAGTGGATCTTAGGCCTTGTATGACAATGGAATTTTAAACACACCATACTTTAGACATTATAATTAAAATAAATGATAGCTAAAACTTGGAGATCTTTGCTGAGATCCTAAACTGCATTTTGGAAACATATCAGAGGGCTTTGAGCTTGCTGGCTTTGATTTCTCACCAGAGTTCAAATCTGAAGGAAGTCTGAGAGAAGTCTGATTTAAATACGTCAAAGTTATAATAACAGTGGGAACCAAACTAGATATGCAAAAGCAGGGACCTTCCAGTCTGCCACTGGGGGCAAATCATGCAGTCTCTTTGTACACCTGTTCCTTCATCTTACAAAGGAAATGCTAATTCTTGTCCTATTTACTTCACAGGAGCATTGTAAAGTGAATGTGAAATGAAAGAACTGTGTGAGAAAAATCTCTGCAAACTCTCAATTACATCGTATGTGCTTTACAAATACAGACAAGACAAGCTTCTATCCAATACTACAAATATGCACAGTATGGTTCTTTCTGTCTCCACTTGACCTCTTCCTGTGTTTCTGTCTCTCAAATCTATCTCTTCCTTTCTCTTACAAAGACTACTGTTGGGCCAGGGATTTAGCTCAGTGGTTCCGCAACCTGCCTCGCAAGCACAAGGACCCGAGTTCAATGGCTGGTACCAAAAAAAAAAAAAAAAAAAAAAAAAAAAAAC